GGGGCCGCCGGGCCCCCCCCACGCGTGGCCTTGGGAGCCTGGACGTGCCACTGATGCCTGGTATCCACACGGGGCCATGCCTGGGGATGGGAGGGGGCTTTCCACCAGGAAATGGGGCGGGTGGGAGGAGCAGGGCTGTGGGAGCCCCACTGAGCCCAGGCTCTCGGTGCCCGGCTTCATGGCAAAGAGGAGCCCCAGCCCCCTGTGCCGGGCCCCCCCCACGCGTGGCCTTGGGAGCCTGGACGTGCCACTGATGCCTGGTATCCACACGGGGCCATGCCTGGGGATGGGAGGGGGCTTTCCACCAGGAAATGGGGCGGGTGGGAGGAGCAGGGCTGTGGGAGCCCCACTGAGCCCAGGCTCTCGGTGCCCGGCTTCATGGCAAAGAGGAGCCCCAGCCCCCTGTGAAGCACGACCCCGGTGCACTCGGCTTGGGGGGAGCAGGGCTGCTCAGAGGCCTGGGGTCCAGTCTAGCTCTGGCTGGGCTGAGCGTCTCCCCTCCCGGGGCGGGTTCTCCTGGGCGGGCTGCCGCCCAGTTAGCAAGGCGAGGCCGGGGCCGGCAGGAGGCTCGTCTGAGAGGCCAGCTGCTGGCTCTGCCTTTCCAGCAGCTTGGCCCGGGTGCCCCGTCTCCAGCTACCCTGGCCTCACGCAGCGGCCGTAAGCTCCATGAATGAGTCTCAGCTGGGCCGGGGCCTTTCGCCGGCTCCCGAGGGCAGGGGAGCAGCTGGCAGCCGGGCCGTGGCCCAGGAAGGGCTGTGGCAGGCCCATGTGCGGACAGCGCCTCCCCTTGTGCGGCATGGCGCAGGCCGAGCCCTGTGGTGCCATTTGAACGCCTGCCGCCGGGGGCTACGAGGCCGCCACGGGCCCAGCTTCCAAGCAGGCTGCTCAGTTTGTCGGGGCCCCTAGAGCAGGGCTGGCCCAGCGCGGTGCTGAAGGGGGCGTTCGATTTGGTCAGCTCCAGCCCTCGGTGCGCTGTGGGGCCCGCTGCTGGGACAGATCCCCCTCCCCCCATTCCCTGGAAATGCCCCCGCATCCCTCCTGCCCTCCGGCGGCCCTGGGGGAAGGAGAGTCACTTGCCAGGCGGGGTTGGGAAGAGCAGTCCCTGAGGGGCCGGGCGTTTGCTCCTCTGCCTGAGCAGTGCTGAGTGGGCCTGGGGGCCGGGGCTCGGCCGGGCAGATGCCACGTCTCCTTGCAGCCACACGCTGGGGAGCTGAGGCCCTCACTTTGCATGCCACGTGCCCAGATCTTGGACAGCCCCGGCGGCAGCTGCTGGAGGCCCCGGCAGGCAGGGGCACCCAGAGCCGCAGAGGGCCGCGGGGCAGACACGCATGCACGCAGGACTCAGGCTTTATTTGCTGGCGGGGGAGGCATGCCCCGAGTCGCACCAGGAAGCAGAGTCCATCCCACTTTCTGGCAGGGGACTGGTCCGTAGCATCTGTTCCAGCTCGTGGCAGTGCTGCTGCGCCTGGGGAAGAGAAGGCGTCATGCGTGCACTGGCCCTGCACGGACGCAGGTCTGGCTACACGAGCCCCGTGACGACCGTCCCACTCCCTCCTGTGCCCTGGCCAGCTGTCGCCCACGGGCCCCTGTGCATTCACAGACACCTTGCACGCCCCGGATCACAAGCACCTCAAAGACAGGCCTGCACGGGGGGCGCCTGACACTCCGCACGCGGCTAGTTGTTTTGAGCCATCTGATACTGCTGAAATTGACACAGTCCATGAAATGATTCAAACAGCATTTTTCAATAGAAAACTGTTCTGTTGAAAAAAAGTTGAACAGCTTTAATTATAATAGGCTTGGGGATTAGCTATCTGAAAGCTCAGATAACTACTCTGAGGTGCATGTAGAGGCCATTGTGATCAGGACCTATAGGTTCTGTACTAGTGCAGATGTTCTGAGGCTGCTCAAGTCAACTAAGAGTATATGGCCCTCAGTTCTCTTTCCAGTTCCTTGGATCTGATCTTTCTCTTTGATAAAGTCTCTCTGAATTTTTTCAGGAGATATTGAAGTATTGTATTTCCTGTCCCTTCAGGTACTATAATAGTCTTCCAGTGACAGCATGTGGCTTAGAAGACCCAGTTTCAGTGATGGGGTCATAGAGACCTAACCCTTCAACTTCATGATCTGCCAAAGCGCTTTGGCAGACAGTTTTGCGTTTTGGACCTTTTGAGATTTAATTGGCTTTAATTGATAACATCTTGATTGTGATTTGTAATAGGAACATGTAGTTTAGCCTGAGTGTGTCATAGGTAGCAGCCTGCGCCCAGGGAGACAGAGCCACTGCCTGGCAAGGGCGGCCGTGGCCAAGCTCTGGTGAAAGATGTCAGGGACCAGCCTCAGCAGCGGGGCCACGGGGCAGGTGTTGGCAAAGTCCTTCAGGATGCTCTGGCTTTGGGGGCTCAAGACGTGGTCGTCAATCCCCCTCCCATGCAGCAGCTGGGCCCACTTCCTCCGCCCAGCGAACAGCTGCTTGGCGACCTCCGCGATGGAGGGGACAGCCTGGGGCCTCTTCTGCCCCCGGTGCGCTGCACCAGAGTCGCTGGGGATGCCCCAGGGGGACCGGGCCTCGTCCTCGTGCACGTAGAGGTGCTCACACAAGGGGAACACGACCTTGGCGTCGAAGGTTTCTTTTAAAGCACGTAAGTAGCCCAGGTAGGAGCCAAGCCAGGCCACGTAGCCAGGGACGTCCCAGCTCGCAGCGCTGCCCGTGGCTCTCCCAGGGTCCTGGCCTGGCCAGTCCCAGCCCTCCACGAGCTTTTCCAGCTGCCCCAGGCTCCTCAGCTCCCAGGTTGGGCTCGCAGGCAGCAGCAGCAGCAGCACCTGGTACAGCGTGCGCAGGTCGAAGTCCTTCTGGCAGCGCTGCACGTGCTCCTCGAAGGCGCGGATCTCCCCGTGGAGGGCAGAGTAGAAGGGCTCCATGGGCGGCCAGGGCCTGGCCTGGCACAGCAGAAAGGAGCAGGAGAAACATGAGCAGCACGCGGAGCCCGGAGCCAACCCCCAGTCGCCAGGCCCATGGGAGAGCAGTGCAGTTGCCGGGCTGGGACGGGGAAACGTCCGTAAGAGCACAAGTAACACGGGCCGCGCGGCTGCATGTGCAAACCCCTCGCAAGGGCTCCTCCAGCGCCGTGCCCCTCGGCTGGGGTCTGCCTGCAGCGTGGGCACGGTTCAGTGCCTGGCGCGGGGCCGGCTCTCGGCCCCCGCGGGG